GCAGTTGTGGCCATTCACAGTGTGGTATTTTTGAGTTACAATCTTGTCTAGAGTCATAGTCATCAAAGGTTACAAAAGCAAAGCCTTTCTTTTTGCCAGTGCCTTGGTCAGTCATGCTTTTAACCACTTCTATTTTCCCATGCTGTTCTAAATAATCTCTTAGGTGATGCTCTTCATTGTCGTCTTTAGTATTACCGACAAAAATCTTCTTCACAGTAACTAGTAAGTGAGCACCAGGTCTTTAAGAATCTTCTCTTGAGACCACCCTCTTTGGTTTCACAATTTTTCCATTCACCCTGTGAGGCCTTGCATTCATGGATGCATCCACCTCCTCCACAGTGGCATAGGTGACAAACCCAAAGTCTCTGGAGTGCTTGATGTTTGGATCTCTCATCACCACAGTCTGTGAGAGTTCTCCATTGCTCAGAATAGCTCCTCAGACTCTCATCGGTTATTTCAAAGCTGAAACCTCTGATAGTTTCTGCAGCTGCTCCGGCTCTTTGGGAGACTCTGACTTGACGACTTCAGGAGAGGAGACACCAATGATGCTTGCTTTGGGGCATCCACTAGCAGAAAGGTTTTTTAGTTTTTGAATATAAGTTCATTGATTTCCAAAAGGAAGGGAGAGGAAGAGGGAGATAGAAGCATCAGTGATGACAAAATCATTGATCAGCTGCCTCCTGCATGCCCCCACTGGGGATTGAGTCCACAACCCAGGCCTGTACCATGACCTGGAATTGAACCATGACCTCCTGAGGCATGCTGGCCAGGCTAAAAAATTCTCAAGAGGAAGGATTAACTTTCTAAAGGAATTTTTAGTATAGTTCCTTTTGTTTTTTTAGGTAGAGGAAAGGTGAGGAGTGACAGAGAGAGAGAGAGAGAGAGAGAGAGAGAGAGAGAGAGAGAGAGAGACAGAGACAGAGACATCTATTAGTTGCCTCCCACCAGGGATCAAATCTGCCACCTTTGGTGTACAGGACCAACTGAGCCACCTGGCCAAGGCAGTTCCTTTGATTTGAGATGTTCTGCATCCTGATGATTTTCAGTCTTTTGGGGAGTAACATTGCTTCTTTTTGCCTCTTGTTAACAATATTTATATTTCTACAAACAATGCTATAAAAATTTACGCAGTGTATTTTGGGAAGGCATAGGCTTTGAAGTTAGATTGGTCTTTTAAAAAAATACTTATTTTTATTTATTTTTAAAATATTTGTATTGGTTTCAGAGAGGGAGAGAAAGATAGAAACATCAGTGATAAGAGAGAATCATTGATTGGCTGCCTTCTGCTTGCCTTCTGCTGGGGATTGAGCCCTCAACCCTGGCATGTGCCTGACCGGGAATCAAACCGTGACTTCCTGGTTCATGGGTCAACACTCAACCACTGAGCCATTCTTTTGGGACATTATATTGTCATATTGTGATCTACCCAAATAGTGATATAGATATGTTTATATTATCATTTGAAAGTTTGAAAACATCTCTGGTTTTGCGTTTATATAGAAACTTTCATGCTGAAGCCAAAGTCATTGTCCAAGTTGAAGTAGAAGGCATATTTGGCTGTGCTTTCCTACAGGTATCAGCAAGGCCTGTTATGTAGGGGAAACGTGTATTTTTTGCTCTTATGGGAAAGAGCTATGCTAAGATCCTTTACCCTCATCCCTTCTGTTTTTGTACTTTTTTTATTATAAGAGAAAGTTTATTTAGAAAGTTACAGAGGTAGTAGAAGTGAGCCAACTGGGCTGCATAGGCTCAGAAAATGTTACAGAAGCAAAAGAAGGGCTCTAGGAGTTTAGGAGAGAAAAAGGCAAAGGTAATCTGCCTGGGGCTTGGGGTAAGGAAAGACGTAGGTGTGCTCTGGAGAGAGCATGCCTATTTTTCTTTTAATCTTCTCATATATCTGGAGATATTTAAATGCAAAGAAAATAATATTAGCTCGGCTGGTGTGGCTCAGTGGTTGAGCATCGACCTATGACCCAGGAGGTCATGGTTTGATTTTTGATCAGGGCACATGCCCAGGTTACAGGCTGTATCTCCAGTATGGGGCATGCAGGAGGTAACTGATCAATGATACTCTCTCATCATTGATGTTTCTATCTCTCTCCCTCTCCCTTCCTGTCTGAAATCAATAAAAATATATTTGTAAAAAAGATAATTTCATAAATACCCATGTTCCTTTATGTGTGTGTTGTCCTTAGGAAATAAAAGCATTATAGTTGAATTACTCTTCTATCCATGCCATTGCCCTCCTTCCCACCCCTCCGTAATAGCTAGTGCCACCTTTTTATTAAATTAGTTTTCAAATAGTTGTTGATAAATTATGGATTTTTTTTTTTACAGTTAAATCGTCAATCTGAAATTGTTGCTACTGGTTCTGGTGATTCTTGGAAGATATATGCAAGACGAAACAAGTCTGAAAATTTTAAACCTTTAAAGGGCAACCCAATTGGACTTAACATGTTGAGCAACAAAAAGAAGTTGAGGTAAAGGCACTTCAACCTTTCTTAGTGGTTGTCTTAGTGAACCACTGTTACTGATATGACTGGCTGTTACTTCTTCCAGAAATAGGGTTGAAAATCACTATTTCATTTCTACTTTGTCAATTTAGAGGCAGGCAGCTGAAGTACATAATACCTAAGTAACTTTTTAGTCAGTGGCAGAATTAGAAGTAGAATTTAGGACTCATTATTTTCTTTACAATTCACCTTTTATTTTAGCATGTAAGAAAACTAATGCTCATGGTTTAAAAACTTTTTATAATAGTCTCATTTATAAATAGAGAATAAGGACAGAAAACATCTGAATTAATTTACTAGAAATCTTATAATACTAAGCATTTATTTAGAATTCATGATTTCTATTCTAGTGTTCTACTGTTCTACTGTTTATCATCTTTCATAATCTGGATTGGAAACATCCTATCCTATATAATACACGTCTAAACGTAAATTGTCCCCTCGAGTTCGACCAGGAGTTCAACCTGGAGTTCTACTAGGGGGCAGGACCAGCTGGCCAACAGCCCGTGGACCCTCCCCCTGGCCCGCCCCCTCTCTAATCCCCCCCCCCC